GGACAGCCATAAACACTTCAAAGAATTGATAATTTCATACCAAGGGGGCAGGGGATTGGGGATCCATTGCAAGGAGTCTGTACACTTAAGCATGGGTTAACTTTGGGCATAGACAGCAATAGGAAGTGATGTCATGCCTGTAAATCAACCAGAACATATAACAGATAGGGGAGCATGGAGGTTGTGATCCCAAAAGGATCAAGTTTGGGTCTTGTTCAGCAATATTCGATGTTGTCATGCCCCAAACAAGCCATAAGTATCAAACACATTGGGGTAGGGATTATACTGCACTGATTCAGAACAAGGGAAAAGAAATTACACCATGCTAAATAAAGATATTGAAATAGATACAAGCAACAGGCAGAATAGATTGCAAAAAACAATAAGTAACCAAGTTGTTGTTGATACTGAAAACTTAATTAGAACATACCAGTTTAAAGAAGCAAAATGTAGTAAAGAAAAGCTGCAGGACTTTGAAATATAGCTTTGGGCTTTCAAACAGGTCACAGTGCAAGTAGTAAAGCAAGAGAGTGTTTGAGTGTAATGTGAGTTCAGAACTAAAAGTATTCGTGTGTTTGTGTTAATGAGAGAGCAAGGTACTTATAGTTTGAAAACAGGTAGAAAATAAGGCAAGAATCATAGTTTAGCAGTAATTATGGAACTATGTGCTAATTGAAATCAAATCAGTATAAGTACTTCCTTTAATTAAGGATTTAAATTTAAACGGTAACATGCAAGTACTAAGTAAGGAAAGAAATCACACAAGGCTGAATATAACAAATAAGGAAATATTTTCAGCATAGTACAAGTACACAATATGTAATAGAGACTAGGTTCATCAGATTCTAAACAAGGAAAGGTCGGTAAGAATCAAATTTCAATTTAACCAAGGTAAGGGAATTAATCAAATTGAGTAGAAAAGTAGGGATAGAAGGTTCACAGAAAAGTGTTCAAATTAGACCAAGAAACAGGGAAATCGGTAAGGCGAAACAAGGAAAGAATCAATTACTTAACATACGAGTGCAATCAGAATTTCACAAGGGATGGTTTGAAATCAGTCCAAAATTGAAGGTCATTTAAGACGGGAATTCAGCATATAAATAGAGTGCATAAACATTAGGCATGCGAGGCCAAACTATGGCAAAGAGAAGCAGCATGCAATAACAATCACATAGTTAGTAGACAGTGAACTATCGAAACATGGTAGTCATATAGGTCAACTTCATTAACTTAGTAATAGAGAAAAGAGAGAGTATCAGAAGCATGCAAAGGGTCAAGTAAAAAGGCCCTTCTGAAAAAAGTATAGTCGAGTTTCAGTGATAGCAGGAAATCAAAATCACATAAAGAAATAAATGCTGAAACAAAAAGGTTTCAAATCCAGTCGAGCAACTTCAAGCAGATGAGTTGCACAAGCAGCTTCAGAAGCTCGAATAGGCCCCAAAGAAATTAGGGTTTTTGAAACCAATCGAACTCAAAGATGACGAATAAGTAAATCGCACAACAAATAGTCTCGGAAACTCGAACGAACCCAAACGAACCCAAACTTAGAGTTTTTTTAACACCAATCGAGTCTAAGGATGAAAAACAGATAATTCAAACAAATATTAACAAAAAAAGATTCAGAAACCTCAAAAGAAATTAAGGCTTTTAACATGCAAAATCCAGTGGAAGAACAACATAAGGAAAACACAGTAGAACATGTCAAAAAAATCAGGGAAAGCTTCGAGACAACTTAGCAAAAAAACCCTAATCGAAAAAGGTAAGGGGTTTTAAAAGAAACTTTGAGAAAAACGTTTAGAAGTTTAGAGCAAACACAGATCTAAAATAGATCTAAAAGAAATCAGAAGAACCTTAAAGGTTAGGGTTTCAGAAGAACCCGTTTGGTGAGAAAGGCTTTGAAAAACCATCGATCTAAGCAGGAGAGTCAAGAATCAGACTCGAATAGCCATGGCTGGCCGGAGAAAGGTCAGAGACGACCGGAGAACAGTCATAAACTGAAAACGACCAAGGTCTGGACCAAACTTTTCCAGGATCTAGCCTTGAAACCTTGATAACCGGGCATGTAGAAGCTATAGGAGGTGGATACAGGCCTCCGATGGCCTTGGAAGCCATGGATTTGGGAGGTTTCAGGGTTGGAGTTGAGGGCGGCGGCTAGGGTTTGAGAGGGGTTTGAGATAGGATTGAGAGAGAAGGGGATTCAGAGGCGGCGGAGGGTATGAAATGGGGTTAGGGTTAGGGGTCGTTTGAATTAAAAAGGAAAGGGCCGATATTGGCCGTTGATCATTTAGATCAACGGCTAGGATTAGGTAGGGGATCCGGGTTGGGTTATGAAGATGGGTTTGGGTCGGATTAATTTGGAATTGGGTCGGGGTAATTGGGCCTCATATTGGGTTTAATTGGAGTGCCAAATCAAGCTAAAATTGAAATAAAAATGGGCTAACATTTAAATAGCCACTTTTCCCTATTTGATTTATAAAAAATAGTAAAATAATTTCTGAAAATAAATTAAAGGTACTAAAATGACTAATAGTACATAATTATCAAATTAAAAATACTGGACTTAATTTTTTATAGATATAAATGTAATTAAATCTAAAAGAGGCCAATATTGCAATTATATGCAATTTGGCTTTAAAAATACTAAATAAATTTGTAAAAATATGTAAAAATTATCTTAGCTAATGTTTAATATAAATATGAAAATCCAATAAATGAATCACCAAAAGGATAACTTTGGGAATAATTATTGGGTTTTTTCTGGATAAAATGGGGCAATAAATTGATTTAAAAATCCTTAAAAATTAAGAAAAAATAGTAAAACATTTGGGCATACTTATATATGCATGCTCATGCTATTTTGAAAGTAGTTTGCTTGTTTAGAAATATATAGGGAAAAATTGTGTATCAACAACGGGCTGGAGTTTTTCCCGTTCAGCCCGTCCCAGCCCGCCCGTTAAACACCCATAGTGAAAACTTTGGAGCTACAAGAAATTAGACTATTTGTGGCAACAAAAATCGTTGCAAAAGGCCATACAGTCGCCACTAATTATCTCTAGCTTTTGGGTAGGGTCGGATCTTCTACCGGCGACCTAGTCTTTACCAATACCATTGCACTGTTAGGACAACTGTAGTCTCCACAATAGCCTTCGATGGTAGTGCAACATTCGTTGTCACTAATGCAAATTGTATTAAAAAGGGGGGACAGCACGATGCATTAAGCGGGGGCTATACGCGATCCGGAGAAGGGGCGGCAATATTTAATATACATTTATATTTCTATCAATTGCCTGGCAATATTAAAAGCATCTAATATTATTCAACAAATATCAAAAATATTTCTCAGCCGAATTTTAGATACTTTAGTTTCTAAAATCAATTGAATGTACAGTACATAATATTTTCATTGTGTGCGTTCGCATAGGCAGATGGTCAATTTCCCCCGAAAAGTAGAACAGGATAAAATACATTAAATAAAAAGAAAGTCAAGACACAGCAAAATAATAATTCATCGGTATTAAAGAAAAGATCAATTGACACAGAGCCAAAAAATTTTCTAAGGGAAGTAAAAAATTTAAAAAGTAAATATACAAAAAATTAACGGGATTTAATACGTAGTATAAATACATAAAAGAAAATCCCGAGGAAAATGTCGATATTATTGAAATCATATTATTTTTGCTTGAGAAATCATATTGCAAAATAGGGAGAAGGACCAAAATTGTCTCTGAACTATACCAACGATACAACTTGGGGTTACTTGTATCCAAGGACGGGATGTATAGTAGCAGTTCAAGGTTCATCTGAACTTATAAGTTTCAATGTGAAGCATAAATTTGTGTAAAAATTCATTAAAATTTACAACAAATGGTAGATCTGAACCGTTAAANAAATACCTACCTAATTAATAAAATAAATAAATAGACCAAACTTTTGAGGTAATAAAATTATGAAATTACATTAATTTCTTTCCTCTAATTATTTTGCTTTCTATAAGATAAGAGTAGAGGAATGGAAAAAAGAAAAATGACAAATATGTTTCCTTTATTACTATGTCTTCAAAAGGTAGAGATTGTTATTATTCAAATTAAAAGGCTTATAAAAAAGTGCAAGTCTCAGCATATTTTTCCTATATATACCATCAAAACAGTAGTAATTGAGCAGAAGCAAAAGTATTTCATAATTCAGAAGTATTCTTATTAATTAGTTTCTCAACATGGTTTACTACTTAGTGAAGATCATATTCTTGGTATTTATTATCATGCCCAAAAATATTCATAGTTGCTCGATCAGTGGATTTAGTCGCGAGGTGCACGTTCTCAATAATCTTCCTTCTAATTCTCCTCAACTAAAATTTCATTGTGCATCTGGAGATGACGATCTCGGCTATCATTATCCAGCTATAGGAACAGATTTCAATTGGGAATTTTGTGGGGCTATTAATACTTTATTCTTTTGTCACTTTTGGTGGGGTGACAAAGATTCAAGTTTTGATGTATTTAACAATGTAGATACATGCGTTTGGGATGGAGAAGATTTTGTTCCATCAGATACTATGAAATGCTTATGGAAAGTGCAGGATGATGGTTTTTATTTGGGTTATTTTGATGAATATGCTAATGAAAATAGTTACAAGAAATATCGTGATTGGTGAATAGTAATTTTTTGTCTTTTGTAAAAGTGTATTTATTAGAAAAAAATGAATTACCAATAATATTGATTTGTTTTAGCAAACTTGTAATCGTTTTATAGAAAGATAAATTTATTTGTAGTATTTCCCCTTTGTTTACAAGTTACTGTAATCCCATTTTCATCTATTAGAAATCAAAAGGTTATATATGCAATGGTACAATTACTAATTAGTCACGAAATTAGAGAAGTTTCTAATTTTTTAATGCCCAATTTTGGCAAATACATCGCTATTAATTAATTTAATAGGTTGAGATATGACAGATAAGAGCATCTTATTGAATAAAGATCATAAGAAATGAATTATAGGAATATTCAGAATAAGATTCCAAATTATTCAATTATGTTTGACTATCAAGTATATATCATGTTAGTGACAGGGCAAGCACCCAATCTAAGTCACAGAATGCAGTAAAAGAATGCACATGTGATCTTTTCAGGAGAATGCCAAGTCCTGGTGCATTTTTGAGATATCACATTAATACTCATTTAACATGCTCACACCTAATTCGAACTTAGAAAGTGTTATGTTATTTCCCCACTTCTCGAATGATTGTCCTAACGGTAACTTCGGCTAACTCTGGACTTTAAATGGGTCTGGTCGAAATATGAACTTTCATGAATACTTGCATACTAAACTGAATGAATACATGATTACTGAACTACTGAAATATTGAACTGAATGACTACTGCATTGACTGAATACTGAGCTGACTGAATACTGAAGGACCTGGAGATTATAATATAAAGTCAGAACGAAAAGGTTAGTTGCCTTCAACATTTATCCAAAACACCTTCCAGCTAACAAAGCATAACACAAGCCGCACAAGGCATCATAATGCGCATAACATGAAATATATACGTGAATACTGATCTGTCATGGATATGTGAATATTGAACTAACATGGATATATGATTATTGAATTGGCATGAATATTTGAGTACTGAACTGACATCAATATCTGAGTACTAAGCTGGCATGAATATATGAGTACTGGATTGACTTGAGTATCTGAGTATTGAACTAACATGAGTATCTGAGTACTGAAAACTTGAATGTTATAACATGATAAGTGAAATAATGGCTGTATAGCTGCAAATTCTAATGACAACTCTAACTCATAAGCTAACTGAACGATGTTTCACAGGATCCTATACAACCCGATGTATCTAGGACTGAGCTTTCCTTGCTTCCCAAATGTTATAAAACCTTTTATAGGAGAAACTTTTAGAAACACCCAATCATCAACTTGAAACTCTTGGTATCTATGCCGCACATTCGAATAGGACTTTTGGGCAACTTTGAGCCGTCTTCAAACGCTCTTAAATCAACTTGGCTTTCTCCATAGCTTGATAGACCAACTCTGGTCCCAGCAAATCTGCTTCACCAACTTCGAACCTACCAATTAGGGATATACACCTTCATCCATAAAGAGCTTCATACGGTGCCATCTTGATACTAGAAAGGTAAGTGTTATCTTAAAATCAAGGACATATCCTCAAGTGTCTGAATAGTGCGCTCTACCTAGCCATATTTCGGAGGATGAAAAACTATGCTGAGATTTACTCTTATGCCTAATCTTTTCTGAAAGGTCTTCTAAAACTTCATTCTAAACTAAGCACCACAATCTAAAATGTGGGCAACAGTGTCCCATGCAATCAGATGATTTCCTGAATGTACAACTGTCAAGACCCAAAAATCAAACCGTCGTGATAACGCCTATCGTGGTACTAAGACACTTCTCAACCATTTCAACTTAATAAAGACTTTGAAAAATACGAAAGCAGTTTGTCACACCCCTTTTTTCACCACAACCCTTTTAAAATACTAAAAAGTTTTTTGAAGCTCAAAATTATTTTTCAAAATTGAGAATTAACAGAATTGTGTTTTAAAATATTATTCATAGTCGCCACCTGGCATTTGATTGCGGTGTGCTAGATCACCGTTTAAAAATATTTTTTTTTAAAACACGTTCAACTCTGAAACTGACTGCACTAGAAATTCGAGATAAAGGGAATTCATTTGACTCGGGGAGAAGATGTTAGGCATTCCCCGAGTCCCGTAACTAGTAAGGTTGCACAAATGATCAAGTTGGCTTTTGAGAATATTTTAATTACGGTAGTACACACAAAAAGGGAAAACAAACACAAAGGAGGTTCGAGGTTGTTCCCACCTAAATAAAAAAGAAAAGAGAAAAAAAATATATAAAAAATCCTATATTAACCTATACTATGCTTCCTCCACAATGCTCGTCATGGCCTCCAAAATATTAAAAGTTCTTCGGGGCATTCCCTGGATAAATTTAACTTAGGGAACGACCTCTCGCCTCAAAAACTAGTCGTCCTAGTATTGCCTAACCAAGTGTGATCGGCCTAAACATGCCGCTAACGAATAAGACAAAATGAATGAATAGAACAAAGTAAAAAAGAAAATTCTAAATCATGCCCAAAATCCTTCTGACTTGTTATTTTTATGTATTTCACAAAGCTCAATTCCTAAAGCATGTGAACAATTTAATCATTAATGAGCTCGATATTTTAACCCCCTACCGCCCAACATCACATAAACACCACTAGCAAAGGAGAACGAAATCCAAATCACACAAGGAAAAGAACATATGAAATGACCGTGAAGTAAAGACATGATGAATTAAAATATGCTTAGAGCCATCTAGATCTATATAACCCATCCCATTTTTCTTAGCCTTTCAAATGTATTAGTCCAACTTCCATAAAGAATTTAACTAGTCATAAAATGAGAAAAGCATGGATTCTTTGATGAAGTAAGAACCCTTTACAATGACTATTCAATTAGTGACCATGAAAATACCCTTCTTTATCATTACCAGATGCAAATTCCTTAAGACTAAAAGTTAAAGTTCATGACTAAATCAATCACACATATAATCTAGTTCAGAAAATTATCACTACGAAAAAAACCATACCTAACTCAAAAACTCAAACTCTTCAGATTTTAAAGATTAACCATTCAAACACATGAAATTTCTATCAAAAGGCTAGTATTCACAATCTTTCCCGAACCTTCGACTCAAGAATCCAACCATCAATTATCTCGCACATTCATAGCTTGGACACTAAGTTACTAAACAAACATGAGTCGACGTTCAAATTTCTGCAAGCAAGAACAGACCTACAGCTGCGAAATAGCATGGATTTGATTCATTTAAGCCTAAAGATATGCATATGCTGCCTCATATCAGTACGAATCAACCAACACTAACAGGAAAACTTTGCAAACATCAAAGGAACTAGTCGAACTCTTTTCAGCAGTAACGTGACATACTTTGGTAATCCATACAATCACAAATCAAATCCGACTTCAATCAAGCGTGTCTGAATCAAGCAGATTCGAGATTGTACGACATTTGAACACAAAAACAAAAAGAGAACAGATTCGCATACCACAGAGAATTCATCCACTCATCGTCAATCCAAATCCAACCAATTTGCTTCTATTAGAAGAAGAGCTTAACCATTTTAGAAATTCAAACCAATCCTAATTGCTTATCTTAGGCTCTCATCATACTTTAATAGCACCAAAGAATAAAATAAGAGAAAGAATCAGTAAAGGAACCTGAAATTAGCTTTCCGATTAATAAGATTTCAGCAACTACGGCAACTGAATCGAACAAAATTGAGCAATGAATAAATCTCGAGCATAATATTTGACAAAAACCTCCGAGCAGAAACAGCAAAAACCCAACCGGAAACCTCAAACGGTGAGCAACAATAGCGACGAACTCGATTCAATCGAACTCCATTTTTGCAATAGAAATCCGAAATTAAAAAAGTGAAGAAGCAGAGATGTTTTTGTACTTTCTTTTGTGTTTTCTGACTTGAAGAGGAAACAAAACTCAAATAAAGAACTAAACTCAAACTATTTCTTTTTTATTTTTGTATTTTTCGTTTTTTTTGGAATTTAAATAAAATGGAGAGGATGAAGATCAAAAAAATCAACCCCAAGAACCCTAGAATCCCTTTTATAAAACAATTTCACTCTCCAATTTTCTCTCTGATTTTCGTCCCCATTCCTTTCTATCCGAGATCTTGGATTATATAGCTGCTCTAGAAGCTTCTCTCCTTGCCCTCCAAGAAAATCGAAATTCCTCCTCTCCAAAAATCTCAAAATTCGTTTGTTAAAACAAGTAGAGGACAAATGGAGGGAGTAGATTGAGCCAAAACTCAATCCTACGCTCACCATTTATCCTACCTCGCCCTAAACGAATCGCGTAAGAGAGATGGGACATTCTCGTCAGAAATTGGTTATGGCTTGATGACGTGGAAGAGGGGGAGGGGAGGGGACCATGTGAGTTTACTCGCCGGGTTTGGGTGAATGAGAACGGCGGCAGAAGAGATGGGTGAGAGGGGGTGCGGCTGTGGAGTCTCTAAGGATTAGGGTTTGAGAATGGGTTAGGTTTATGTATTATGGTAAGAGAATCAATTATGTCCGTTGGATAAGTTTGAGTGAATGACTAAGATTTAAAATTGGAATTGGGTTGGGTTGGCGGATGGGTCAATGAGCGTGGGTTTCAGAAATGGGCTATCTGATTTGGGCTGCTAAGATCTAGGGTTGGGCTTAAATTTAGTGGATTCTTTAAGCCTAGTATCAATTGATTCAAAAATAAAAATGTCTTTCCCTTTTTTTAAATAAAACTAGCCTTATGGTATGCGCGTTACGCGTGTACCTATATTAACGAGTACACAATTTTAAAAAAATTACGTAAATATTATCTGACAGTATATTTGACTAATTTAAAATTATATAATAAAAGTTAAAGAAATATTCTTGAAACTGTTGAATGTTGTTCCCATTTAGTTAACTCAATAAATGAAGAAATCTTGGGCAACATATGTTTTTAGATGCTTTATTGTGATTTATGAGTATGTGTGAGGTTTCATGAAAATTATTGTTATTTATTGACTTTTCTATTATATAGAAGAGCAAAGATAGTCGACCAGGGGTAAAATTGACATTTATCTTTATTATAAAAGTGCTTAAGTGTGAATTGCTCGTATCTGAGCTTCCCTTCCACACGAATTATTCAAGAACCATCTTCTCTTCTATTCATGCTTTCAAGAATACTCTCTTCATTTTCTTATCTATCTCCTACAAGTTCAGGTATGATTATCCCCCAATTTTCTCTGTCTATTTTTTCTTTTTTTGATTTTTCAAGATCTCCGAACAGATTCCAATTCAAGTCTTCAGGTTCACCCAAGAAAAAAGCCCTAACAGTGCCCAATTTAGCCTTTTCGGACTCCGCTCCACTTTTTGTTTGATTTTAGGTAATTTTTTAACTAATCTATTGATATTCTTTATTATTTTGAGTTATGAAGACAATACATATATATTGAGACATTTTGAATTCCCGCTGATTTCTACCTTTTTTATTTTTGAGGAATGTCTACGAGTTGAATTTTTCAGATTCCTGGATGCCATTGTATGTGTAGCTTTCCCTCAATTTCATCTTAAAGTTTGCCCCTTTTGTTCATCTCAAATTCTGAATTGCGTAATGTTGCTTTTGTCTAATATTTTGCTTGGTTGTTGTTCTTCTTTGGTGACATTATTTCCTCTCTAGAGGGAAGCAAAAATTAAAATTTTAGTTTAGGCTGAAAAGTCTTTTGTTGCTTTGATATAGTTTCCCTTGCTATTTTCAGTGTCATGGTTTATTCTTCTCTTCTAACTTTCCTTTGCTACCTAAGAAGTAGAAAATAGAGAAAATGAATATCAAATGCAGTACAAAGGTAGATTGTAAGTAATCATATTCAGGAGGAAACTCAAATCAAAATACATTTCAGAATACCTATCAATGAAAATCAAAGTGTCTTTTGGATATGATTCCATGGAGTAACCCACATGTTGATCCTACATCGGATTCAACATTCAAAGCTTTTCTCTACTTTTACTGGTGTTGATGTTTCAGTAGCAGACAAATTCAGTCATTCCTACCTTTCTCATTTATTTCTAACTTTCATTAAGCAGACTTGCACTCATACTTGCAGTTTGCATTTTCATCAGACAAACTGATGATAGTACAAAGGAAGAATAATTCTTTGTTTCCACCTTCCGTTAGTTTCTTCAATTGCTTTTTTCTGTTACTAAATTCTCTCTGAAATCATAAAAACGATCAAATTGAAAAATACTACGCTGACAGAAGGTTTAGGCCGCGCGAATTATATAGACTGATGCCAGATGATAAAACAGCCCTTTAATGCAACGATGAGCAAATAGAGCTGAATTAGAGAAGGAATTTTTGCTGCAATACATTTATTGCATAGTCACAATAACACTCTACATAGATGACCATAATTAGCTGAAATATTACGAATCATTGGTGTATTTTAATTCCTTGTTCAATTTGAACTAAAAGATATGAACAATAAGAAAGTTCCTATGTACAAACCTTCAGTATATTTATTATGCAGTTCCTCTTTACTCTTGAGTAGCAAATTGGGCTTCAGCATTTTTTACATGTCAAAGAATAATTTTTATCTCTGTAGGAGAATATTCACGTATGATGGTTTTAAGCACTGGCTGCATGATATAGAAGCCTAGGAAATGATAACGTTAACATTCTGTCTAATATCGTTACCTTTTCACGTCAAAATTTTGTTATTTTGGCTTTTGCTTAAATGTTATAGTTGCTTTCATAAAGATGTACCCCTTTAAGGGATTGGTTAATCTTGAATTCTGCAATTTGATCATCTACCAATCATGCTATATATTAACCTACTATACGTTGTACACAATATACTTTCAGATCGATTTGTGGCAAAAGCTCCCTTTTATTTAAGCTTTGCATTTTTCGTAATTTTCTTAGATTAAAGTAGTGGCTAGACAAAAGCAATTTAAAGGTAATTCACAATCGATAGAGCTGGCGGGACAACAACAACAATAGGTAAAATGGTTGTGACTACTCCTATCAATTCTACTGGATAGTGAGTTCACTTAAACCCCAACTCTCTTGTGATGACGCTGTAACACATGATGTTGACATAGTAAGTAGCAGTACCATTGTCTAGGCAAGAAATAAACTATGATGTTACAAATCAATATCAGGTTTATAGTGATTTAGAAAATATTACATGTGAATGAAAGGTTGTGAAATTTGAGAAATTTCATGAGCGCATTGAACTACGGGAATATGCCATAAGAGGCTAACTTATGAGAAGTTATGATATGCATTGTTCAATATAGAAGCTTATATCCCACACTAGATATAAGACAATGGGCCAAAATGGGTCATAAATTATATACAACTTTATTGAAGAGGATGTTAGGAAGACATGCAAACATTAAAGGTGCATACTCTGCATATAATTGATTGTTGCTTCTTGTGTTGATACGGATACCTGAAATTTATGTTGTTCTGAGATCTAATAAAGGGTAATGGAGATGTGTGGCATAAGTTTCTAATTCATTTGGGACTTGAAATATTGGTGCTCTTCTCACACTTTTATTTCTTACTCCAGTATCATTCTTCTTCCTTTTTGTTTTATATATATTGTAAGGCACCTATCATATTTGATTTTCTTTTCTAGCCTAGATTTGCAAGAGCAAAAATTCGGTGCGGCTTACCACAATTAGAAGCCTCAACTAGAATTCGAAGCCCCAACTAGAGTTCATGACATTTAACTTCTCAATGCATTGTTGGACTTTCATTTCTTTCAAACTCTATTTTTGTATTTTATATTTCAATTATTATGGGCATAAATATGTGAAGTCATCCACTAATTTCTCAAGTGAAGTACAAGTATTGAATTAGTTCAAAGTGCCCATGAGTATTATGTAATCCCTCTGAATTTATCTGCTAAGAGGATAAAAAAATATTTGCAAACACGATGGATTAGGTTGATCACTGTGGAGTACATTTGTGAAGTGCATTGTTCTGCTCTCTTCCGTTCTGTTTTTTTTTTAAGGAATTCTTTATATTTATGAAATGTATTACAAATAAACGTAAAAAAGAATGCCAAGAACAGACTGAAAAAGAAAATAAAAATATATTGATTAGGTTGTGGTTGGACGCGTGAAAACATATTGACTAGGTTGTCGTTGGGCCCTATCTAGTAATACTAAAAGCAAGACACAAAAGAGAATAAAAAGGTTGGTCTTATAGCTCCAAAAATTAATATTGACAATGTACAGTCTAAAAAATGAATGCGATTGAATTAATATCTCACAATAAATAATTTAATAAAAAAATAGAGCGAGGCATTGCCATTGGTTGGACTAAATTCAAGGAAAAAATGATAATTTATTTAAAATACATTTTTTCCTACTATTTCATCCTTAAATTTCTTGAAAAATACATACCATTTATTAGTATAATTTTGATATATAAATTTCAGTGTCTTATTTATGTTTTATTTATCTGATTGTGTTTGAGCATTAACATGTATAAGTTCGACAAAAAGATTAAAGTACATTATAGTCATTATTACTATAATTATGTTATTTTCAAATATATAATCTTGTCATTTTTAAACTTAGTTATAGATAATTCCTAATATGTTTATAGGTTTGGTTTACAATGTACATGGCACTTCAAAAGTTGTAAACTTGATATTATAAAGTCAAAAAAGTAATTACAATTGAGTTAATAACTACTATGAATAGTTTAATATAAACAAGTATAGCGAGATTATCATTCGTAGGACTGAATGCTAGAAAGGAAAACATTAAAAATGACGACTTATTTATAATATACTTTATCTTTTACTATTTCATCCTTAAATTTCTTATAAAGAAAAGGTACAATTTATTACTATTAATTTAGATATATAAATTTTGGTTTTTTATTTATGCTTCAATTATCTAATCGTGTTTGTGCTTTAACATGTATAACTTCAACAAAAAATTTAACATACATTATAGTTTATTATTACTATAATAATTGTAATTATTTGAATAACTGCATTGTTGTCTTTTGTAACATATTCTTTTTTTTACTCTTCATGTAAGGTTTATAGGTTTGATTTACGATGTATAGGAAACTTCAATAATTTTGGACTTAAAATTAAATCTATTGTTTATTGGTAAATTTTAATGCACATGTACACTTTTATTACTTTAAGTTATTTGTTATAAAGAGGATAGTGAATAACTTTTAAAATATTCACACTAAAAGAGTAATATTTTATATTTATTCTCTTTCAATTAATTTTTTTTATTTTTTTACTAAAATAGTAAAATTCTAAAGAATCAAGCGGCAATAATTCTAAAACAAAGACAAAAAACCTTGTAGGAGTTCTAGTACACGCTAGTTTCTTACATTGATTATGTTGGTATGTCTTTTATGGTATATTATATAGTTTAAATAAGGAAAAAGATAATATTGAAATTTAGGTAAGTTTAAAGTCATAGATATTAGGAAAATAGTTAAATGACTATTTTG